CAATCAAGAGAATGCCACACAGATATGCCCCAGGCCAATCTGACAGAGGAAATTCCTTGACTGAGGTCGCCTCTTCCCAGGTGTGTCAAGTTTGACAACCAAGATTAGCCATCAGGGGCCGAAGAGAGGACTCAGTGGTTAAGAGCACTGGCTGCTCTTACAGAAGACCTGGGTTCGATTCCAGAACCCACATTGCAGTCTAACAACCATCTGTAATTCCAGTTCCAAGGATCTGACACCCTCTTCTGACCTTCACAGGCACTGAATGACACGGGTGCCCTTACATACATGCAGGCAAAACACTCATACACATAAAAAAAGATTAGCCATCACAAGTGGCAAGCCAGCAGAGACCGTGTCTCCTTTCTCCCTACCCTTGACTGTGGATATGATGCTTTTAAATTCCTGCCTTGACTTCTTGCAAAAAAGGCCTGTAGCCTGAAATGTGAGTCAAAGAACTCTGTCTTCTCTAAGTTGCCTTTTGTCAGGTTAGTTTATCACAGCAACAGATTTGTAAGTAAGGTGAAGGTATTGGGGACGAATCCTTGAGGCTTCAAACATTCTGATTGCTTTATTTTTTTAAAGGTAAATGATCAGTACTCAGATGTTTCCATTAGCATTTGTATGTTAACACATGTGCTGTTCTTGTTGATCTGTTCTGTATTTAACACAAACCAAAGAATAGTTAATATCTGATGGATACTTGGTTTGCAGTGCTCTTTGAATAATTTCTGTCTTCTCAGTTTCTAAACTAGCTGCCACTGTTGGTTGACTTTGCCACCTGCAATTTGGGGATTAAAGTAAGCTCAATTAACAAAGAAGTTCGTTTAGAGAAGAAAAACCTTTCCTTCATCTTGTTTGGCTCATGCCTGAAGGCTGAGGACAGAAGCTACTGTTCCACACGGACCAGATGCTCAGAAGAAAGGGTCGGCTTTAGACTAATGTGATGACGCTAAGAACAAGGCTAACCTCAGTGTCTTCTGAGCTTAGCAACATTTGATCTTACAAGGTCCTGTTGAGCACCTCTCCCTTTTTGTGGAACTCTAGGGACTCTAACATCCTGAGAGGTGGGGAGTTAGGAGGGAGTGGTTAAGGGGAGCAGAGGAATTTTGGCTGCCTGGCCTGTGGGATTGCTGCCGGACACTGCTGGCTGGACTGGGCCAGGTTTGCAGAGGGAGAAGACCCTGAGGGAGCAGGAGCATTTGCCAGCCACAGAGGAGTGCTGCCCGAGGATCCAGGCAGTTTGTTTTCGGATGACTAACTTGAAGACCTTAATTATCTTGATTCATGACTATCCATCATCATCTTCATTACCACCAGGATTCCTGCTGCCGAGAATATCTTAAACACAACATTTTTCTGCTCAGTCAATTTTAAAATCCAAGTTGTATTTTCCAAGAGTTTGTGACCCAGCAGTATGGTCAAGGAGAAACACAGAAAAATGGACCGCATTCAGCTGGGGATGCTGGCTTCCAGAGGATGCTGAGGGCTACATCCTTAGGCTGTTTTGCTTAGCAAAGCCATGTAGACTGAGTTCATAAACATTAGCACCCCTGTTCCACAAACAAATCTTACTATTTTAAATACCATCGTTACTGAGATCATCCTTGAAAATAAAAATTAAAACAGTAATTTAAGTGTTTTAGAATGTTGTTGGTGTAGAATGACAAACTTTATGTGTTCCTTTAACTCTGCAAATACTGTGAACTTATCAGCCATGTTTATCTTCTTCACTCCTGTCCAATTTTCAATTCTATTCTAAGTAGAATTGTGTTTGAATATTTCAGTTTTGACAAACACACACTTAGTGTTAGTCAAATACGGCTTACCAAAGGAAGCTTAAACTTGACTGAAATCCAGACCCCATTGCTACCTACTTGTCAGACCTTTGCAAGCTATTTGAAATGCCTGAGCTTCTACTTTCTCATCGGTAAAATGGGCACGATGACTTCTAGCTTATGAACCAAGGTGATATTTTGTATAAAACATGCCCAGTGCAGCTTTAAAAAATACATTTTTATTATCAATTGTGTGTGGTGTGTGTGCCTGGATGTGCGTGCCCTCATGTAGAAGTCTCTCCTTTCACGTTACCTGAGGTGAGCAGATGTTTTCCGTCTAGCTTTATGAATTTCAGGCCAGCAGAGGGGCTAAATGACAGCATCTGTGGTGGTCAATCCTGATTGTCAACCTGACAGGATTCAGCATCACCATGGAAAACACCTTTAGATATGTCTGCAAGAATTTTCTAGATTCGGTTAACTGAGGTGGGAAAACCCACTCTACATGTGAGTGGCATCAGTCCATAGACTGGGGTCCTGGACTGAATAGAAAGGAGAATAACTGAGCACCAGCGTTCATCTCTTGGCTTCCTGACTGCAGATGCTGCATGACCGGCGGCCTCACGCTCCTGCCACCGTGCCTTCCCTGCCGTGATGGACTGTCCCCTCAAACTGTGAGTCCGGATGACCTCTTCCCTCCTTGCTTTCATCAGGCATGTTATCATGATAACAGAGTACAACTGATACAATGTTTGAGGTCATCAGATGCTGGTCGCCCTCTGGGCTGTACACTCTTACTTAAACATTGAATAATAATTTTTCCATAGTGAATGTGACATCATGGAAAACAGTAAAGGGAAAACCCGCTTTCCTTCCAGATTTTTGCTTTTATTTTGCAGTCAGCATTTGCAGGCAGTTTTTAACTTGCTTGTTTTCAGCAACATGAAGTCAAAGTAGGGCAATTCAGGTTTTAAGAGAAAGAGTAACAATATTTGAATATTTCCAAACAATATTCAAATAACCACCCCAGGGGCCTTTGCATGCCCAGTGTCATGATCAATTCTGATCTCCATCCAATTCTGCCTGGTGTGTCACCCAACCTGCAGTACACAGTGAAGCCAGATGTATTTAAAGCTTAGCTTCCCTTAAGAAAAATAATTTGTTGTAAAAGCTTACCAAGGAAGAACAAGGTGTAGAAGAGGAAAACAAGGAGGCAGACCTGGGAGTGGCTCAGCGACTGGGACTCCACTCGGCTTGAACTATATACACACCCCTCTTCTAATGATGCACTCGGCAGCCTAGGACCCTTGCCTGCACACACCATGTGCACACACCCTTCTCTGAACTATGTGCTTAGGAACCTGTTGGCCCCCTCTTGCCACAGGCTGCATATACTTATTTCAAAAGCTTCTCTTCACCTTAACAACCACCAAATTTTGACAGTTTCTACTCAAATGCATTCTCAAAGGTAGGGGGACCAATCCTGCCTAAACTGGTTTGAGATGTATGTGCAATAAGGCAAAAAAAGCTTCCTTGATTCAACTTTTGAGGAGAATCGTCTAGTTACCATCTGATGCCTATGCATAATTAGGCATACATATGATTAAAGTCAGATGCATTATGGGAAGAGGCACGCGGGGTAGAAAAAACACAGTAGAAAAATGACCATATGACCTAATCTATCAGTTAAAACAGAAAACTTCCCTCACCATGCCCCCAAGTAACCAGCTTCTCGCCCTCTTGAACCCCCAAAAGGATGCCCCAAATAGTAATGAGGCCCTCAAACACCTTCTCATTTGGGTGGCCTTATGTGTCTGGTCTGTGCTGATGCTTTGCTTTTGAGTAGTTTCTTTGCCACTGTGCAGTCTGAGTGAGCTTTTATTTCAGTTCTTTGCATGAGGCCAAGAACCTGAAAACACTGGACCCAGACCCTGTGAATATTTAAAAACAGTTGTAGAGAGGCTGGGGCGATGGCTCAGTGGGTAAAGTGCCTTTCAGACAAGTATGAGGACTTGAGTTCTGATCCCTGGCACCCACATAAAAATAGCCGGGTGCAATGAAATGAGTTTGCAACCCCAGCAGTGGGTGGGCTGGAGGCAGATGAGCAGCTGGCTGCCAGTGTAGCCAGTCAGTGAGCTCAAGATTTAGGGAGAGACTCTATCTCAAAAAAGTAAGGTAGTGATTGAGGAAGACACCTGACATTGACCTCTGTCTGCATACCTTTGCACACACACAGACACACAGACACAGACACACACACACACAGACACAGATATACACAGACATACACACAGACACACAGACATACAAACACAGACACACACACACATACACACACAGACACACACACACACACCCCAAAGCAAAGTAGACAAATGCTTACAGAGCTTAACGAATGCGTTTGCTCCCTAAGCCAACAGAAGTGGTCGGTTTGAGTTGCGGAAGTGTTGTTTGGTGTGACTTTGCTACCCTATCTCTTTTTCCATTCCCCCCACCACCGCAGGCTCTTCATGTGAGGATCCTGAGGGTTCTGTGAACCTGCCACCCTTTCTGGGTCTCCTCCCAGTTTTAGCTTTCCTCCCTGGGACATGGCCAGTGCCTAGCAACAAAGTGTCATCACTTGACTGATATATTCAGTATGTGCCAGGTACTGAGGAAAGCTCTGGGTGTTCGGCACACAGTGAAGCAAAGTCTGACTGGGTAAAGGGACTGGTGGGGCTAGAGCGGGGAGGGAGTTGTCAGAGATCTGCAGGCACAGCTGATTTAGCTAAGTAACAAGTGGGTGGGTACATGAGTGTGGAAGGGTGTTTCTGACAGGGAACAGCCTTTGTAAAGTCACGGGGTGTGAACTGAGCATGACATGATAAAGGCCAGAGTGTCTGAAGCCCCAGCCCTGCAGGGTGGGGTAAGTCCCACAGTGTGAACTTGGAACTCAGTGGCCGTGATGACCTAGAAATGTACTGCTGGGCATGTGCTGAGGACCTTCCAGAGCAGTTTAACGAAGGAGGAAAGACCCATTTTGAATGTGAGTGGCACCATCCTATGAGCTGGGATCCCGGACTCAATGAGTTAAAAATTGAGCTGAGTCCCAGCATTCTCTGCTTCCTGCTGCAGATACAATGTGACCAGCTGCCCGTGAACAGTCTCTGATACAGTCCCCACGGCCTTCTGCCACCATCTATTTGCAAAATGTCAGAGTGCTCAGAGTCCAGGGTGTTTTACCTTTTCTCATTGTGCCTGTAAGAGGAAGAGGTCCGGCCGCTGGTCCATATGAACATCTTAGAGGATGTTGGTCCTGGGGGTCCTTTCCTCACGGTGGAAGTCCTGGAGGAGTGGCAGGAAGACCTGCAAGAGACACAGTGAGGTCAACTTTGTCCCTGGGGATTTGGAACTTGTCGACAGTAGCCTGTAGCACAGAGGACTGACTCTCAAATAATCCTAGATTTTTGATGCTGAGGGAGCAGGTTCTCCATCCTGAGTGCACGATAAAATTAACTGAGAATTAGAAAACAAACTACCACTGCAGCCGGCCCTCCCTCAGAAATTTGTATTGTGGTTTTTATTATTTTTATTTTATGTGTATGAGTGTATTGTCTGCGTGTATATAAGTACACCTGTGTCATGCAATGCCTGTGGAGGTCAGAAGAGGGTGGAAGATTTCCCTGGAACTGGAGTTATGGATGGTTGTTAGCTGTCATGTGGGTGCTGGGAATCGAACCTGGGTCCTCTGCAGGAGCAGCCAGTGCCCTTGACTGCTGCGCTGTCTCCACCTCTGTATTGTGTTTTTATAAGGCTCCTTCCTGTAATGCCTCTACTGCACTGTCAGGCTCGAGAGTCTCCGCCTTACAGAATCATGGTCTCCTTTTAAAGATTTTATTTTATTTTATGTGTATATGTTCTGCCTGTATGTAAGTGCACCATGTGTGCAATGCCCTTAGAGGCCAGAAGAGGGCAGAAGATCCCCTGGAACTGGAGTTACAGACTGCTCTGCTGTGTGGTTGCTGGGAACTGAACCCCAGGTCCTCTGCACAGCTGAGCCATTTCTCCAGGTGGAGAATCACATTTCCTGATGTTAAAATCACATGGCCCCTTCCAATGCCTCCTTCGCAGGGCAGAATCAGTACGGTACTGGTTCATCCTCTAGAGTGTGACATAGTCCCCTAGATTTTGATCCAGATAGATACTAAAATTCTAGTTTCCCCTTTCCCCTTCAAAATTTTCTTTAATGTTCACAGATGTGAAATGTTGGGGTGAGTTATGTTTTTTAATTTTTTCCTGGGTTTTGAAACAGGGTCTTGGTATGTAGTTCAGCCTGGCCTCAAACTCATGATTTCCATGCCTCAGCTTCCTGCTGGGAGTACAGGGAAATATCGTTCCTGAAGTTTGCTGTTGTAAGCATAGTGAACTCAGTTCACGGCAGTTGGGCCTGCCCAGGATGCTGACTGTGGTGTCAGCAGGTGCACATGTCCAGTGGCTGTGGTGGCTTTGCTTCCCGGATCTGGAGGAAGGAGATGACAGGTGTGTTGTGTCTTTTGGGTTAGTCTCCAGGAGAAACTCCTTCTTCTGAAAGCACAGCACTGAAAATAGCTATTATTATTTTTTGCCTAATAATTTTCTGGAGAAAGAAACTTGAAGTATCATAAGGATAACAATCTGACATAAAAGTTAAATGACAGTTAATGCATTAGGACCAAAGGAGGGCGAAAAGTGATGACTTTAGGTCGCATGTTACTAGTGCCTGGTGTCAATGAGAAACAGAGACCGAAATGGTATTAGGTGCTATAGATTATAGTCAATATTATGTGCCTCGCACTTCCCACACACTGTCTAGCCCACAGTTACCCACATGCATGTAACTGTGTTAGGTTAAGCCCTGAAAACTTGCAAAGTGGGCGGTGTTGCTATCACCACATTTCAGATGGCGCTTTCTGCTTACATCAGGCCATGCTCTGCCCCTGAGTGGCCTCTGCAGCGGCTGCTTACATCTACAGGGCGAGCCGTGCCTCATGTCCATTTACCTCTGTCCCATTCTCTCTACAGGGACCCATGGTGGAGCCCAGTGCTTCTCAAGTGGAACCTGGGGCTGGCAACAGTGCTGATGTGGGTTCAGTGAACCTGGGCAGGGCCCAGGAATCTGAATGTTTCTGGAGTGCTGGGGTGAGGTCAGTATCACAAGTAGCACTGAGCAGCTCGTGCACCTGCTCAGAGGGTGGGTTGGCTGTGTCTTTGCTCCCTCTCCAGTCTGATGACCTCTGTAAAGTCACTTAACCTCTCCAGAGTTGGAGAGAGCTTAAAATTGTTTCAACCTCTCCATGTTATGGATGGAGTTGGAAACAAGTAACTTTTAAGATCTCTCAGCTCCATTATTTTGTCAGGCAGTAAGTTGAAGAATGAATCTAAAGTGTGTTAGGTCACTGTATGCTGACTTCCTGGGAACAGGTCTGGAGATTGAGCTTCTGTAACCCCAGGGTCGGCATTAGAGAAGGAGACTGTAGAGGCTGTGGAAGAACAGCTGAGGCAGTGACAGGTGCAGATGGAGACGCCCGGTGTGTCTCCTAGGGTAACAGAGGGGTAAAAGGACTCATCCAGATGCTTCCCCAGCCAGTTGTAGGAAATTGAATCTAAGCTGGGCATGGTGCTGCACGCCTAAAATCCCAGCACTCAGGCATCAGAGGCAGGAAGATTAGGAGTTTAGAGCCATCCTCTGCAGGTCAGCCTGGGCTACATGAGACCCTATTTTGAACAGAAAAGAAAACAAAATCCAGCCCAACCCTCAAAAGAAATAGAATTGGCTAGCTTTGTAATGACCTGGGTGTGACATGTTGTAAGTTATTTATGTTTCTTTCTGGCTATCTTTAAGATTCTAAATACAAAGGGATTAAATTCATTCGTAAATCCAGTTAGCCTTCCGGAAATAAGAATGATTTTAATGTAAGTTGAATGACTTACTTTATAAGATTAGGATTGGATTAAAGTTTGGGAAATCGTTTCATTATAGAATCCTCGAGTTCCTCCAGTAAGCCCTTTGAAGGGCTCAGTACAGAATGGACAAAGAGGAGCTCCTGATTTGCATATAGGTGAGGCAGTGTTTTACTAAGCACTGCCCCGCTCCTGGGTAATGGCCAGACTTAATAGACCCACTGTTAGAATCATAAATGCTTTGAAATATTTCGGAGCGGACTGGGTGTCAGTCTTCTAAACTGTACCTTGGCTCTTTTGTTTTAAGTTGATACAGAAAAGGGGACATGAAAGATGCATTTATTCTAATTAACTGTCTAAAGCCTCCTGGAAAGGACTTAATGACTCCTGAGCTTATTCCAGTAAGTAGATTTGAAGTTTTTCTACCCTAATTTTCTTTCATAAAGACAAACTGTTATTTAAAACCTGCTAAGTTTGCCATTAATTAAACTGAAAGGGACTTACTGCTTTTTAAAGACAACAGAATAAAGATTTTGTGGAGGTTAAAAAAGATTTCCAGGCTTCAAAGAAACATCCAGAATTCAGAATATGTCACCTGTAGCTGGCTAGAAGTTTCTCTCTGTGCTCAGAGACAGCCCTCCTGAACTCCTTGGGTGACGAACTTGACTCACTGTGAGACGGGAGCGCTTCATTTGAATTGTGGCTAGAGAAGTGATGGGAGATTGAACCAAACCACAGTTCTTTGCTAACAATTTGAACTCCTGTGTGAAGGGCTCTGTTATGTTCTAGCTGCACAGGGCTGTGGGCCAGTTGAGCATCACTGAGTGGGCGAGGCATGGGGACCCTAGAAGAGCATTGCTATGTGGCTGCTGGTGAGTGTGGACTGGAACCCAGCCTCTGGGCAAGGGCAACAATGGCTCAGTTACAGAAGCACTTGTCATGCAGGCATGAGGACCTGAGTTTGAGCCCCACAACCCATAAAAAGCCAGGCATGATGGCGTGTGCTTGTAGTTCCAGCACTAGGCAGAAATGGAGGATCCCTGGGGCTCACTGGCCTACTTTGTTCTGGGCAGCAAAGGAAAGACCCTGTCTCAAAAAATGGTGATGGCTTTGAAAGACAACACCTTGGTTGACCCCTGGCCTTGCACTTAAACACACAGACATACAGAGACAGACCCATAGACACACAGACACACAGAGATACAAGACACATACATATATATGTACTCACCGGATGCAGACACACATATACATATGCATACAGACACACAGACATACAAATACACAGACACACAGAGATACAAGACACATACATATATATGTACTCACCGGATGCAGACACACATATACATATGCATACAGACACACAGACATACAAATACACAGACAGGTACACACACACACATATATATACACAGACACACAGAGATATACATATACATATACACACAGAGATACATACACATATACATATACATGTACATCTACTCACACACACACACATGCACAAACACATACACACAGACACACACATATGCCCATACACATACTTACATACACAGACACACACACACACATATACATGCACGCATATACACAGACACACACATATACATACACACATACATACACACACACACATATATATGTACACATGTACACATATACACAGACACAGACACACAGACACACACACACATACACACACATATGTCAGATTTTAAAAACAGCAAGGAGCAAAGAATGGGACCACTTCTTTGCCCCAGTAACCGATCAAAGGCCCTTTCCCTGTCTCAAGCCCACCCCTCATGGCTCCTGCCTTCTTCTCTCTTTTTTTTTTTGAATATTTTATGTGTATGTGTGTATTGCCTGGAACTGGAGTTACAGATGGTTGTTAGCTGCCACGTGGGTGCTGGGATTCGAACTTGGGTCTTCTGTAAGGACAGTCAGTGCTCTTAGCCGCTGAGCCGTCTCTCCAGCCCCCAGACTCCTTCCTTCTGGATTCAGCTCCACCTCCTCTGCCTCACTCCCCTGCTTGGCGAAGCGGGTGTCCGTTTCCAAGCCACCTCAGATGTCTCCCGCCCTGTGACACCTCTGATGACTCCAGGTGGCCCCCTTGTCACTCTGGGTCTTGTACTTAGTTCTGTTGAGCAAGGCACTGGGATCCCTTTGTACATAGTCTTCCTTGCCTTCTAGGTGGAGCGTGAGTGTCTGCAGGGCAGATCTGTACCTGAATCACTGTGCTGGGTAGGTTTTGTTTTTATCAACTTGACATAAACTAGTCACTTGGGAAGAGGGAACCTCATTGAAGAGCTGCCTCCATTGGATTGGCCTGTGAGCGTGTCTGTGGGGCATTTTCTTGATTGACAACTGATGTGGGAGGAGGGCCCAGTCCACTGTGGGCAGTGCCATCTCTAGGCCTGTGG